TGCTGGTATTAATGTACTTTAAAAAAATTAGTTATTTGAAATTTAGTTAAATAGGAAGATATATTGGTTTACCAGTGGTAATTGACATTGTTCTACATTGTTCTGAAATGTTCTTTAGGTTACAATATATGGTTTAAATATTTTTCAGTTATCTAAGACTTTTGCTCATCTCTTCAGTACAAATTACTGTTTTGTAAAATCAGCAGATGTGCTAACAGTATCTTAAATGATATTAAGTGATATTGTAGTGAGAATGGTAAACAGCTGTTCTTCTGTCTCCACAGAACAAGAAGAATAGATTTAGAGTGTGTTTTGGAGAACATAAACAATTCTCTAATATTGGTAGCACTTACACAAATTTTTATGGCTGACATATTAAAATAATGATATCTAACATTTTAGTATATGATTTATTGCTGGCTTTGTATAAAGCACTTTATATGCATTATTACATTTATTCTGTGAAGTCCTATGAAAAATCACTTTTCCCATTTTATAGATGAAGAAACTGAGGTTTGAAAAGGTTAAGTGGCTTATTAAGACTAGGTGTTACCTAAGTGAGGGGCCCAGAGTTTGACCAGAGAGCTTGTGCAGTGTAAGAGGATGAGGAGAGCTGAGGCTCTTCATTTATGAATTAGGGATAAAAGACTGGGTCCAGTGGACCCATCCCTGATTTTTCTACTATAAATTTGTACTTTAGCATTATAGGAGCCATCTGTACATCTCAGTACCTTTCCATGGGGGGTACAGGAAGCAATCTGTGTGTTTACCCACTTGTTATGATGAACAGCAAGGTGTGTGCACATGTGCAAAAGTGGCAAAACAAGATTTTTTTCCCACCTTATGTGTGTGTGTATGTAACTGGTTTTACTTATGTTTACCTGAGCATCACAGAGGGTTCAGTGAACCCACACTACTTCAGGGTTTGTTTTAAAAAAAAGTTTTCTTTTGATTTTTCTTGTGGAAGTAGACCAAATCAGTACAGTGGCACATGAAAAACCAGATCTGCAAGTTTTGGAAGAGGTCAAAAGTGAATAATCAGATTACTCGTGCATGGGCTGGGCATGGTGGCGCATGCCTGTAATCCCAGGAGGCTGAGGCAGGAGAATTGTTGTGAGTTTGAGACCAGCCTGGGCTACAAAGTGAGCTCAAGGCCAGCCTGAACTGCATAGCGAGACCCTGTCTCAAAAAGGCAAAAAAAAAAAAAAAAAAGGACCAGATTACTCGTGCATGGATGATGAAGATGATCCACTATGGTAAAATACATGCTCTCATAACAGAAGAGTAGTGTGGGTGTATGATGATAATAATGATGATGATGACAACGACAAAGATGATTTTGACGCTGGCCATGTGAACCAAAGTTTCTATGACAGTGAAATGTGGCAAGAATTTACTGATACAGATACAGGGAATGCAGACCTTGATTCAGATGATGAAGAAAACAGTAATTTGAGTACATATTTTACTAGTCGAAATGTTGCAAAATGGCCAAACAACCAAATGGAGTGATCCAATGTTAGAAGCAGGTCCAAAAATATAGTGAAAGTCTTGGTAGGAGTGAAACATATTAGACAGAATGCCAGCACTGCTACTCAGTGTTCAGAATTGTAACAGATAAAATGCTACACGATGCTGTGAAATACACAAAGGTTGAAATGAGAGTAAAACTCAGTGTGCACCAATAGCCATATTCAAAATTTATCATGGCACCTCACTAGCTGAACTGAAAGCATTCATATGTTTGCTGTACTTAGCAGGGATTTCTTAGGGTGATTGCAGGCATGTGAAAGACTTACAGAAAAGGGATGGATCAAAATGTGGCATAAAAATTTATGCCCTTGTAGATGCGAAGACTTCCTATGCTTTCAATTGAGACATTTGTCCTAGAACTCAGCCATCAGGTCTTCATTCATATAGTAATAAACCAAATCATATAGTGAACAGACTTGTTGCTGCCATCTCCCAAACTAATTGGATATAATATTGGACAATTGGTTTACCAGTTTCCAATTGATGTTACATTTGCTAACAGCATACAGGTTGACAGCATAGGAACTACAAGCAGGAACAAAGCAGAAGTTTCAAATAAAATGTTGCAATTTCAAAACAGAAAATTGTATAGTACAATCTTTGGGTTTCAGAAAGGTATAACATTGGCTTCATATATGGCAAAGAAAAACAAACTGGCACTGCTGATGTCAGCATTTCACCATGATGGAAGTATTGATAAGGAGATCTCAACAAATGGAAGCTGAGATGGAAACTTTCTACAACAAAACCAAAAGTGGAGTAGATGCCTTTTTTCTTTTGGATTTTTGAGACAGGTTTCACTATGTAATTCATGCTGGCCTTGAACTCACTAGGTAGCCCAGGCTGGCCTTGAACTTGCAGCAATCCTCCTGCCTCGGCTTCCTGAGTGCTGAGATTATAATCGTGTGCCACCATGCCTGGCAGGAGTAAGTGCTTTTGATGAGTTATGCAACAACTATGATGTCACTTGAAATACAAAGCATTGGCCAATGATTGTGTTTTACTTGATCCTGAACATGTGTGGCATAAATAGATACTTTACAAAGAAAATAACAAGTGCTAATTTTCTTAGGGGATTGAGACTGGAACTCATAAGACATCATTTACAGCAGAGGAAAACCAAAATGTTTCTGTCCAGGAAACAATGCAAAAAAATTATGGAGCATATTGGTGAGCTGACAGGTGAACAGGCAGGCATACCATCACAAAGACCTACTATGACAACAGGATAACAAAAAAGATGTCAACTTCCCTACAAGAAGGGACAGGAAAATAAAACATACATGCTTATCAGTGTAAGCGATTCCTGTGTATGGAACATACAGTTGTCAAGTGTGAAGATTGCCTTGGGTTTGACAGTTGAAGCAAAGTTTATTGCTGTGGTACACTTTTGTTTGTGTTTTCATTGTAGTTCACATAGGTTTTTATTTTTGATGTTATATTTTAGGTTTTGTAAGCAGGTAAACAGCTGATGTGAAAATATGGATATCCATTCTAAACACTCATCACATTTTTGACATTTTATTGATATGTTATTTCCCTGCTAAATGCACGTTGTACAGTGTAGTAGGAAGCTCCTGACAAAACAGGAAGAGACTGCCACATAGGAAAGGAAAACTAAGCACATGTGCTGTCAGTATAAGTGAGACAGGTACATGGAACATGCAGTTGTCATGTGTGAAGACTGCCATGTGTGACAGTTAAAGCAAAGCTTATTTCTGTGGTAGCGTTCTATTGGTATTTTCATTGTAATTCATTCAGGAATTTATTTCTGATGTTATCTTTTAAGTTTTGTAAGCAAGTACACAGCTGATATGAAAATGTTGATGTCTATTCTAAATGCACAATACATATTAAGAATTTAATACTTTATTGATGTTTTATGTTCCTGTTAATTACACACTGTAAAATATAGTAAGCAAAACTAACAAAACAGCAAGACCACTGAGATGTCAAGTATGTCCTGTAAAAAGGTCAGGAAAGCAAAACACAAGCCCTGTAGGTGTAAGTGATATGTATGTATGGAATGTGCTATTGCCATGTGTGCAGACTGCCTTAGATGTGATAATTGAAGTAAAGAATATATTTTTGGTAAAGTGCTATTGGTAGGTTCATTGTAGTTCATATAAGAGTTTATTTGTGCTATTTCTTTTTTAGATTTAAAACTGTGACCACACCAAAACACAGTTGATATTGAAAATTTTGCTTTTTTTTATAAACACTCAGTAAATATTAAAAATTCAATACTTTATTTTTGTGACTTTTTTCTTGTTAAGTACTCATTGTTTAATATAACTCATGAAATTAAAATTAATAATTCATCAGTGGAAATATTCCAAAGAATAAATGTAGATCTGACAGACCCATGTTTCTGCGCCTCGATGACAAAACTAGTCTTATGCTTAACTAACACCAGCATGGTCAGTCGGTGACACACTGGAGGAAACAACTGAGAGTAGCAGTATGAGCAAAGAAGAGCCTCCCATATGATTTGGGTTCAAGCAACCACGTCAGTAAGGATGCATCTCTGATTTTCAGCCTTTCCACTGGGCTGTAAATTCCAAGAACAGTGATGTAGTTCATATGTGAATTATTTATACTGCAGTAGCCAAAGTTCACAACTCTGTGTAGATAACAAAGGTCTCTGTATGGAAATCTCAGAAGTTAGCAAGAAAGACATTCAGACCCAGCTAGATAAATAGGGAAGGCAGGCAGGCAGTACCACTGTAACTAAGGAATATAGAAAGCTCAGTCTTGTAAATAATCAAATATATACATATGTAAACTGTAATGTGGTATGAGTTTTGCTTAGTAAATTAGCAAAAATTTATAAAATGTTAATATCCAACTCTGTTACTCTCATTCATTGCTAATGGCATTTTAAAGTAGTATGCTACAAGAATAAAGTAGTTCATTTGGTAAGTAAATAACCCTCATTCAATAATCTAGTAAAAATAAAATGCTCATACTTGTTTTTCTCTGATATTGAGAAGCATATTTTATTAAGCTAATCTGTATTAAACAAAAAACTGCTTTAAATACTTTTAAAAAATTAACCACAGAAGAAAATAATTAACAGCTGTTGAGCAGAAATGTTGATTTAGGATTTTCCTTAAAATTATTAACCACAAGAGGCATATTTTAATTGCCAACTCACTGCAAGGTCAAATTGCAAAAAATCTATAAGTAACTCACTCATATGACCTTTTGGTCTGTAGGAACATGTGTGTTTTATACCTGAGCACTCTATAGTTTTGCCTCTGATTACCAAACGGGAAAATCATTTCAGCTCATTATTCACTGCTACGGATTCCTTGAAATTTTTGCAGTGTATTTATTTCAAAAAACTATAGAATGATGAATTGCATTAAAGTGTGATTATACAACTTAAAATACAGTTTAGCATACATTTGTTTGCTCTCTGTGGCTGTGGCGGGCAAGTAACTCCATGATAAATTATTTTACAGGTATTCACAGTTTTATATGGAGGATAGCTTCTGCCACTATAACATGTTTAACCACCATTTCTTTGATGGAAAGGTAAGGAGCATGACCATTATCTTTCTTCTCTTACTATAAAATAATGAACTCACGAGGACCTCCTTTGTTATTTTTCTACCATTTTAACTATATTTTTGTAATTCAGTTATTTTTCCTGTCATTATTAGTGGCTATTAATTTTACCAAATACTGAGTTTCAATGTATATGAAGTATTTTGATCACATCTGTTCCCCACTACTGTCCTTTACACTTGCCTTTCTTTCCTTCCCTTCCTCTTGCCTGCTAATGGTCTCCCTTCTATTTTATGTCATCTTTTTTAGATTCCAAACAATAATGAGAACCTGTGTTGTTTCTCTTTCTGGATCTGGCTTATTTTACTCAACATAATGACCTCCAGATCTACCCATTCTCCTGCAAATGACAACATTCTGTCCTTCTTTGTGGCTGAACAGTATTCCTTTGTGTGTATATACACCACATTTTCTCTATTCATTATTCTGTTGATGGGCTCCTAAGCCAGTGATGGTGAACCTTTTAGAGCCCAAGTACCCAAACTACAACCCCAAACCCATGTATTCATCGCAAAGTGCCAAAACTGCAATTGAACCTGAATACTGAGATTTTAGTTTAGAAAAAACAACTCATACGTTAATGTCTTTTGTCTTGCAAAAAAAACAAGTAACGTGTGCCATCGGTTTGCCACCACTATTTTTATTCTTAGAGCTCTTTGTTAGTCCTATTACAAAATAAAACCCACACTAAGCAGGTAGTCACACCTGACAAGATGTTGGCCAGAACGTTTAGCAATTATCAAGAAGATAGCTTGGTCCATACTCATGGATGTATTCCTATAAATCAACTTTGTAAAGTTTGTGAACCAGGCTTAACTATATATTGTGCTTGAGATGCTAGCTAATGATAGGGCGAAACCCAGGAAGCCTCAATAAAAGTAAGCATCCAGAGAGTGAAACGCTAAATCATTAGTTGGGATTGAAAAATGAGTCTTCTGATTTAGTAAATACAACACTCCTTCCATGAGAATCAATTTAGCACTGGGATACATATTTCCCAGCCATGGTAGCTATTAAAACGAAAATTTAAAACAATCAGCAGTTAGATTAGATGTGGTAGTTGAGTTCCCCAAAGGGTTTATGTGGTCGGTAAGTGACTCGGTGGGCGTTGAGGAGGGCAGGGAGCCGAGATCACTGGAGAGTGGATGGTGAGGGACTTCTCAGCTAGCACAGCGGCGTTGGGACAGGAGAGGAAGGAAGCAGACTGTCGGCCTTGCCCAGTGGACACAGATGGAGCAGAACAGATGCGTGAGAAGCGTGCTGGGGGGGAAGCCAGTGCTGACTCGGGAGCAGTCTGGGCTTCTGTTTTCTCCTCAGGACGGAGGCCAAGGAGTTTGGAGTACAGTCTGGAATGTTGAGTTTGAGGACGTCTGCATTGATGTGGCGGTGTCATGACTATGGTTTTTAAATTTTTTAAAAATTTTTTAAATACCATACTATGATTTTGCTTTCATTTTGAACAATAAAGACAAAATAAGGGTAAAATTTTACTTAAATTCCTATTGGCTAGCAATTTCGTGTGTTTTTAAAAAGTAACGTGTAATTAGCCATTTCTAGGAATTCTGTAGAACTTACTATTGAAAGTTTATAGAATTGCTCTATAAGTTTCTAAACTAATGATTGGAATAAGCTGACAAGACCGAGCCCCACTTTGTCTTTGCCTAAAAAAAATAGTGGTTTAGCCAGACTTTACTTTTGCTGTATTTTAGCAGCAGCCTCTGAGTAACCCTGCCGCGTAGACTCATCTGCAGATGTTGCGATGATTTTACTGTCCGTCTGCCCTTTTTCTGCCTACTCTGAGTTAAGTTTTCCAGTGGAGCTTTACCATCTCCTGATCGGTCTCTGAGCATCTGCTGCCTGCCTGGAGTTTGTGAGGCTGCGTGGGGACCTCACCAAGCTTCGGGCCGTTGGATTAAAAAGCAGGAGTTCCCCACACAGGGCTTTCTCCTCACACTCAGGCAGTCTAAGTAATGACAAGTGTCCTATGCTTAGCGGGAAGGAGAGTGCGAGGCACTCACAGTGATAGCTGCCTTGCTGCCTGCGTAGGTGGCTTTCTTAGGCCACCTCCAGGAAGCGTGGCAGCTCATGACAGCCGTCACGCCATTGCTTCTTACCTGGAAACATCTTTAATGTTTTCTAAATTAATTTAGGAGTTTAGGCACTGTTTACTTGTTTATTTTCTTTTCCTTGCTTTTAACACGAAGAATTTTGGAGGGTTTCAAAATCCTTACCTGTGCCTTGAGTCCTTCAGGTGAGCAGGGATAGGAAGTATGCAGCAGCCCCTGAATGCTGGTTCCCCCTCTGACAGCAAGTCTTGTGCCTTTTTTTTTTTTGACAGGGTCTTACTATGTAGTGCAGGCTGACCTTGAACTCACGGCATCCTCATGCCTCAGCCTCTAGAACACTGGATTACTGGCATGTACCACCATGCCCAGCTTGTGCCTGTTAGATAGTGTATTTATTTACTTTTGTAGATGGTACTTGAAAACTACTTCTAGGTTGGTAGACTGGAGATAGGATGGTAGTGTATCTCCTTTTACCTTCACCCAAAGCGAAGATGAAAAATGACCCAGTTAATGTTAACTTTGCAGTGTTAACTAACAACACTTACTTCAGCCTGTTGGAAAAAATGTGTTACTAGCACAATTTCATAGACAGTATAAGCTTTGAGTTTTCATTTATTTACTTACTGTGTGTGTGTTCAAATGCATCTGTCACTTACCTGATACCCCAAAACATGTGCATATTTAACTGGTAAATTATGGCTGTTATGTTATTAAACTGAACTCATAGTGGTAGACAAGCGAGGTAGGAAAAAATTGTGTCTTATTCTTCTTTGTGTCCCTAGAGCTTAGCGCTGTCCCTGCTCCTGTTTGTTGAACTGAATTGAATGTTTTAGATAGTTTTCATGGGTAATGAGTTTCTCTCTTTTAGGTTACTAAATTTAGTTTTTAATTTAACCATTCGAAATGTGTAGTTGTCTGATAGTGATGGTGTTTGAATTTGCAATTTAAAAAACGGGCTTATCAGGGAACCCAAAGATAAAATCTGACTGGGAAAGGGGGTGAGGGAGAGCTCACTAGGAGCCTGGGGTGTCGCTGAAGGGCGCTGGAGGCAGGATGAGGTCCGAAGCTCCCAGTGCTAAGAATCAGTGCATTCTCCATGCAGACTGAGCGGGCTCTCCAGTGCTAATTTAGAAACATTTGTGTTTGTTCCAGCCTGCCCTTGAAGTATGCAGAGCATTTTTACAGGAAGATAAAGGTGAAGGCGTCATTATGGTGACAGACCCTCCTTTTGGTGGCTTGGTCGAACCTCTGGCTGTTACATTCAAGAAGTTAATTGGTATGTGGAAAGAAGGTCAAAGCCAAGGTGTGTAACTTTTTATTTAAGGACAAAATAAACATGTACCTATGGATCTGCTTCCTGTCACTTTAGCCACAGTCAGTGAATCAGGGTACTGTCAGAATATACATGTCTCAGGAAAAAAAAAGCCTATTTGATCGGGGCCAACTTCATTAACGTAGTACATTTTTTATTATCTGGATCATATGTTTTTTAAAAAACTGGGTGTTTTTGACAGTGGGGTATTATAAACAGCAGTGGCAAACTGTTACCATTTGTTCTGTGAATGTTTTCTGTGTGGCTACACGTGCTGGGTACTGTTTAGGTGTTCGGATGAGGGGACCAAGCACACGTATTTGTCTGCCCTGTGAGCCCTACATCCCATCTTGCCCAAAGCTCTGAGGACACCACACCTCAGGCCCAGAGCTCCACACTCTGCCAAGATCTGTGTAGAGGTTTGGACATCCACTACACTAGTGGTGGTTAGAAGTGACTTACAGGTCACCAGCCCTGGAGTGGCCTAATGGCTGCTGGCAATTATTCAGTTTAAAGTAGTTTAGGATTTTAATCTAATGAGTCAGTATCCTCATTTTTTAGATACAGCTTCTAGCTTGTGAGTTGATAAATTATAAGAGAGTGTCAGGAGTCGTGTGATCCAGCTTCTCCATTAATTTTGCTGTGTAAGTAGTATGCCTTCAAACAGAACGCAAATGAAATCTGAATTAAAACATGAACCATCTCATTAAGTCTTTCACTTGTTTGCTATCTTTAAAACCACTAAACAAAGTAGGTAAATACAATGTTTTGTTTTAGTTATAAAAGAACATTTCCCCTGGGCATGGTGGTGCATAGCTGTAATCCCTGCACTTGGGAGGCTGAGGCAGGAGGATCGCCTGGGAGTTCAAACTCAGCTAGAACTACTTAGCGAGACCCTGTCTCAACAAAACAAAACAGCATTTCCATTGCTCTTTGGAAAGGTCAAGTTGTGAGATAAATGTATTGAATGACTGAAATTTCTGCCAGTACCAGAAGTTTTTCAATTAAAGCTATCTTTTATTTTTTCTTAAATATCTGTTTCTTACTTTCTTTTCCTTTTTGTTTTTTGTTGTGATCCATTAGATGACAGTCACCAAGAAATGCCCATTTTCTGGATTTTCCCCTATTTTTTTGAGGCCAGAATTTGTCAGTTTTTTCCAAGTTTCTGCATGCTGGATTACCAGGTACAGTAACTATTCTCTTTTCTGGTATGTTTGGCAAATAGCAATTCTGCTTCACTAAATGTTTGGGTAATACTCTACACTGACTTTAGTGAATTAAAATCCTTTGAGCTGTATTAAATGCTAAAGTTATACCACACATAGCTTGGTCCTGTGGTGACTAAATGTCTGTAATCCCTTAGGGGGCTCCTTAGAAAGATAGACTTTTGAGCACCTTCAGAAGAAACCTACTAAATCAAAATCAGAGGATAAAGCCAGAAGAAGAAGTATTTTCCCAGGCTTCCCAGGTGGCTCTGAAGCACAGCAGGGTTTTAGACAACGCTCTCATCTTTCAGCAGCAGATTCTGCAGCCCCCAGGGGCAGCACCCTGCTGTCGCTGGTAGGAGGAATGCCATGTGTACCTCTTTACGCCCCTCAAGAGGGGTGACCTGGCTTGTGGAGTGACAGAGGAGGCTCATATGGTGCTGTGCATGTGAGTGCTGACCCGGCGGGGGTCCCTGGAGTGAGTCATGCTCTTCCCGTGGCACAGCCTGTGGGAGTTTCCACGCCTTCAGTGAGAAGAGGCCAGGGTCCACGCTAGCGCCACCAGTCCCTCAGTTACTTGGGCTGTAGTTTCCTTGGGCTCTAGTTTGCTTGTCACTGACTAGGTGGGACTGCTTCCTCTTGTATAGTGGCATTTTTCCCTTTGAATTTCCTGTACAATTAGCTGCCCCAGACTATGGTCTTTCAGCCCTAGGATTGTAAATGTCTTCGCTAGTTGTTCCAGACTAGCACTTTGGTTCTAATTTGCGGCCTTTTTTTTTAATGTTCCTGGGATTGAACCCAGGGCCTTCACTACATTCCCAGCCTTTTAAAATTCTTTTTAAATTTTGGGACAGGATCCTGTCAGTTGCCCAGGCAGGGCTTGAATTTGGGGTCCTCCACCTCACCCAGCCTGGTCCCAATCTTTCTAACGTTATAAAGGGATATGCCATGATCAAAATCATTTCAAAGTTCTGAAAGAAACAGTGTTGCCAAAAATGAGGGAGGACCTTACCTGCATTTCCCCAGCAGCAAGTGTTATAATTTTCAATGACAGTATTCACTTCTATTCATTTTTAAAATCACTTTTTGTATAGTTATAATCACAGAAGACAATTTTGAATTTTTTCTTCTCTTTTTATAAGTGTACATTTATTTATTTATTGAGGCACGGTCTGGCTCTATAGTCCATGCTGGCCTGGAACTCCCTGCATAGCCCAGGATGGCCTCACACTCAGGATCTCTTGCCTCAGCCACCTGAGTGCAGAGATTACAGGTGTGTGCTGCCGCACCCAGCCTTTTTAAAGGTACTCATATAATAGTCCTTATGTTTTTAATAGCTTTAGATTATATCGGTAAGGGGCTGTTTACTGTTCCCTTCTTTTGGGACTATAGGTTGCTTCTGCCTTTTAGGTACTGTGGGTAACACTGCTATAAGCATCTCTTTTGTATATAATTTTCTCATAGTTCACATAACTTCCTTAAAATAGATTCCCCCCCTCAAAAAATAAGATTTCCAAAACTGAGATTACCTTCTCAGATTGAATGGATATTTTTATAGCTTTTGAGCCATGGTAACAGACTTCATCTAAAAGTGTGCAGCATAAGCCATTTTAACTTTGACCTGAGCTCTGCTTCAGGTGTAGTCTTCAATGTAGAGCCTGTCAAAGCTGTTTGTGTTCCTTTTAGGGCATCCAGTTTTCTGGGTTCTTATCTGAGGGATGCTTCTAGAACTGATGTCTGTGATGCAGCAATAGCTGACCTCTTCTGAAGACATTAACTGAGTGAAGGCATCCAGCTTCCAGCAGCACCTGCTGCCTTTGGCAGTGACTAGTGCAATGTGTTGCACATAGTAGGTGCTCTGTGTACATGATTAAATGGAAAAGAACATGAACTCTAGAGTGGAAAGGATCTAGGTTTTAACCCTTTTCTGTTGCTTATTTAACCTCTGCAAAGCTCCTCTTACCTGCTAGATGAGTATGAGTAATAATGACGCCTGTCTTACAAGATGATGCATGAAAAACCTTAACCAAGTGCTTAACCTACGTGGGTATATAGGAAAGGGCACTGTCTTTCGGAATCCCAAAGCGGGGGCAAAACTTCCTCAGGCCCTTCTTGGTACAGCATTTAAGACATTGAAGTCGGGGAACCCGGGGTCCTCAGAAGACTGCTGCGTCCACATGTAGGGAAGCATTTTTCCTGTGCACAAGAATGTGCGTGGGTGAGGAGGCAAAGAGGGCAGACCCAGTCCCTTGCTTGTTCCACGGGGCAGCCTGTGGAACTGGCAAAGAGCTTTGGAGATGCTGGAGGAAGAGTTTTGAGGGATAGCTGCAAAGCCCCAGCCACCTGGAAATAATCACACAGTTCAGTGTACTGGTGGAAAACGCTCAGGTTAGATTGTGTGTGCCTACCAGTGAAAGCCAGCCTTGGAAAAGGAAGATGAGATTAAAATGTGCAAAATAAGGCATTTTTCATCATTCCTCTTAACGGTGAGGACAGTTCTGCCCACTAACTACTCACCAGTCTCACCGTATGTCCTGAACACTTACCAAACTTGCTGTCCCTCCCCTTGACAAGTTTTGTCTTGCTTTAGTTTTTGAAAATGTCTTTGGACCTGTTGTTATTATTTTTTTTATTTTAAAGAGAATAAAAAATTTAAAAAGAACATTAAAAATGGTACAGAGTTTCAAAACAACATGATAGGAAATCAACAAGAGTTGTTATATTGCATATTGTTATCGTCAAAGTAGTTGCTCAGATTACCAGTGATAGGCATGCTGTTGTTATTATTCCTTCCTGAACTTTGCTTTCTTCCTTTTCCTTCTTTTGTTACTTTAACTTAATTTTCCACATTTTTCTGTGATGCTAGCCTTCATTCTAATGAAAAATTTGAAAAATCTCCTCTTCTCTACAGATCTTTTCTCCTAGTCCTTGATTGGGCTTTTTTTCCTGACATCAAACTCCCCATCTACATTGAAGTAAAAGAAACAAAGCAAAGTCATAAAATCTCTTTTTTGAAAATACTTTTCAGGTAAAAAGTAGGCAGAAATGCTGCAGATCTTCATAAAATATAAATTATGTAGACTCTTCAGTGATGAAGCACTTGGTAAGTACAGAATAAAGTAGTTACCAGAGGCCTAGGACACCAGGAGTTTTATTAAGGCCAAATTAGAATTAACCTCTGTGGGTGTAAGAAATTCTGATTTAGAGTCGGAATTGTTCCAGTCCTGCCACTGCGCTTTAGCAGCTATTTAATCATGGGGGAGTCACTTGGTCTTTCCAGTGTCTATTTCCTGACCTGTAAAGCAAAATGATTCAGCCGGACAGGGGATGGTGGTGGCAGCAAGTGTCTCTCTTAGTACTAAGTCAGGGAAATTGGTCGTGATCTCAGAGACTCTGCTGCGAACACGAGGGGCAAGTAACAGAGGAGTGTGGCTGAGTAGCGGTGTCCACCACAGGGGCAGGGAGGGGTGGCCTTCGTGTCCCATAGGCACCACATCTGAATGCTGTGTTCTCACCTCTCCTCCCTTAAATGTGCTGTCCTCTTGCTTCTGCTTAGCATGGGCTGCTTGTCTAGAGTGTTACAAGTAGACATCTTTGCTTTTGTCCAAGCTATTGTGTTTAAAAATCTGCCTGTATGAGAAACTTTTTCAAGGCTAGTTCCGTGGTCAGAAAAGAAAATACTTGGCAGGAATTTATGCGAAATTATTGTTCGTTGAAATTACTGTTCATTGAAAGATGGCAACCAAAGTTCTTGAAACTTAATCTGTGGCGCACATTTAGAGGGTTTTGAGTGAAAAGGGAGATAAGAGATATATGGGAATTTTAAATAAGAAATAGATGGGAATTTTAAATAAAAGATTACTTACGATACGTGGGATAAGCTGGTTGGTGGAGCACTTGGGCCCTTTGTGTATACTGAAGTCCAAGAGAACGCAGTTCACAGAGAGCTGTGGGGTGCTAGTACTCGGTCTTGCTTAATCTTTGTGCCCTGGCACGGTGCCTGGAACATAGTAGGTACAGAACAGGTTTGCTGACTTGGATGTCTTGGTTCTCCCAATAACTAGTTTCAGTCTCATGCTACAGAAGACATTTGTGTCTAGATCAAATTAAAAGTTGGGAATTGCAGAGATTTTGTGCTTTCCCTCATTTCTATACAGTACTTCATCACATTAATCAGTTCCATGGGAGAAATTTTCTATCTGAAAATGCCTCTCATCATCATTGTGAGTGAAATGTCAGGGATAATGATGGGGAAATGGTGTATCAGCTCTACCACCAGTGATATGCAATTTGCAAAATTGTGTTTGCTTTACAGCACTTCCACAGGAGGTTTATTTGTGTGGATGAAGCTATGAAATATGGATGTATGTTAGAGGTACATTAATTTACTCGAGCAGCATGCATTTTACATACCATATGTTTATAGTTAATTAGCACAACAAACCCACATTTAAAAATAATAATAATCTCAATTAGGTTATGCAAAATCCAGCAATCAGCCACCTTCCTGACATATAACATTCTTCGACTCCTTGGGTAACCATAAAGAAATTGTTCTCCTCCCCTCTTCCATCTGCTATCTATTATATTGCATAGAATATTCCATATATTAGAAATCTTTCCACAATATTATTTCCCAGCATATGAAAATCTTTGTGAGAATCTCATGGGAAGAGTTGCTTTCCTTATGATACTCATAAATTTATGTTCAAAATCTTCATTGAATTTAATAAGGGTCCATGTTTTTTTGAGTACACAAAGGACAGCATTAGTTAAAAATTAGAAATTTAAATCATTTTAAAAGAAAACTACTTCAGGCACCATTTTAAGGTGATTTTGAAGTAAAATCTATTTTCGCCTATTAGTCTCTAATAGGTAACATATATTCATAGAATTTTGAAAGTTGGACAGAACAGAGGTAACCTGGGCTGACTTCCCAGTATAATAATCCTCTCTGATAAATTCGTGACAAGCCGTCATCGAGCTTTACTTGAATGCTCTCAGTGAGCAGAGACCTACAGCCTTACAAGGCAACTCCATTTATTTAATAGCTCTAATCGTTAGAAAATTTTCTTATGTTGAGATAAAATATGCTCCCCATTAACTTCTACCCATTGGTCCTAGTTCTGTTCTTTGAAGCAATAAAGGGTAAGTCTAAGTTCTATTCCGTTTGACACCCCTTCAATTATAAAATAGCTGTCAGTTCCTCCCAGTCTTCTCTTTTCTGAATAAACATCCCCAATTTGTCCAAGGGGAAATCCCATTCATTCCCATTATTTCCAGTAGAGGTGAGCCGGTTTTATCAGTGTCTCTCTTAAACCGTGACCAAGCACAGGGTGCAGGTGTGGTCTGTCTGGCAGGAGCCCTCCTGGCTGGGACAGTGCACTTGCATAGAGGCTGCCCGGGAGCCTGCGGCCTCTGCACTGGCGCGGGGCTGTGCACTCACTGTACAGCCAGCCGGAAAGCCCTGGGGATCTGTGCGCTGTGTCCTGGCCCTTACAGCCCAAGCTTAGGAACCGGCCCTTCTCAGGGCAGCCCCCGGTAAATCTGGTGTGCACTTGCATTAAGCCCGGCGAGGCCTTGGCGAGACCAAGGATCCACCATCAAAGGCCTCTCTGTCACCAGGTGCTTACATTTTTGTGATTCGCTTACTAGCTTGCAGCTGTGCTGTAAGCTCCTCGGTGTATTCTTGCTCAGAATTGAACCATGTTGACCCTTGTCGGAAAGTTGCGATCTACCTGTGTTGAGCCCACACAAAACTCTTGGTATTCTTGTGGATGATCTGAAGTCGTGGTTCTCAAGCTTGAGTGTGCCGGGAGGCCTTGTTAACACGCACTGCTGGGCCACTCCCAGGGCTTCAGATTGATTAGGCCCTCTGCCGGTGGTGGAGACGTTGCATTTCTCACAGAGCCCCGGTGAGGCCGCTGTTGCCTGCACACCTGGAGAATCACTGATCTAAGGACAGAGTTAGTGACCAGGTGGGCTCCTAGCAGAGCCAAAGCCAAACCGAGAGTGTGTGTGGACAGCAGGGGAGGAGGAGAGCCAAGACACTAATAGAGACCATGCTGGTAGCTTCAGTGTACTGTCAAGACACTCCGTTGAAAGGCAAAGCAGGGATCTTGAGGAGAGGTGAGTGTTGGAGAACAGCTGCAGTGGGTATGCTGTCTGCGTCTCCATCTTCCCACCATATGCCAGGCCCTGGACTCGGCAATTTACATGCATCTCATTTAGCCCTTCCAGCAGCCGAGGTGGGAGTCGGCAGCCTCTTCTTACAGGGCGAAACATGTGAACTTGCCTAGGGAGTGAGTGGCAGGGCCACAGTCTGGCCTCAAACCGGTGTTCCGCCTGAATGAGAGAGGAAAGATAGTGGACAGCCAGGCTGTGCCTAGGCTCGGTGAGCTGAAGGCTGGCACCCAGCACGCTTTACACACACAAAGGAATGTCTCGGGGGCAGATTTTTAATGCTGGTTTTTTGTTTTTTGAGACAGCATCTTACTATGCAGTTCAGGCTGGCCTTGAACTCAGTATGTAGCCCATACTGGCCTCAAACTCACGGTGGTCCTCCTGCCTCAGCCTCCTGAGTGCTGGGATTATAGGTGTGTGTACCACACCCGACTTTTTAATGCTGATAACACCTATTTTTTTTTTTTTTTTGGTGGTGGTGGTAGTACTGGGGATGGAACCTGAGGGCACTCTCCCACTGAGCTACATTCCTTTCTTTTTTAAAAATTTATTGGTACAATTTAAATATATATATTGATTGCATTCATCATAGGGAATTTGTATCTGTACATCATATATCTTTGTACCTCTTCTTTTCCCCATTCCTCTCCCCTCCTTTCAACCGCTCTTTGCCTTCTTATGTACGAAGCTTTGTTTCCATTTTATCCTTCTTTTCTTGTTTTTTCTTTTCCCTTCCTTCCTTTCCCTTCCCCTCTCCCCCCTCCCTAGTTCCTCTTTCTTTTTGAACAATTTCTTCCTATTTCACAATTCCTGTTATACATTTTTCTTCTTATTTACAGTTTCAGTTTTTCACACCAGAGAGATAATGTGGTATTTACACATGCATGTCTGATTTATTTCACTTAAGAGTATGGTCTCAAAGTCCATCCAGTTAGCTATAAATGACTCAAGTTCATTCTTTATGGCAGAGTAGTACTCCATTGTATATAAAATAAATCTTTTTTTTATCCATTCTAGTTGATGGGCATTGGGGTTTCCAAAGTTTAGCTATTACAAACTGCTGCTATAAACATGGGTGTGCATATATCACTGTGGTATGATCCTTTTAATTTTTTTTAGGAAGATACTAAGAAAGGGAATAGCTGGGTTGTATCTTTACTCTTGGTGGTTTCTTTTGCTCTGCAAAAGTTTTTTAATAAGATGAGGTCCCACTTGTTGATTCTTTGTGATAGTTCCTATGTGGTTGTGTGACTGGGGTTTTGTTCATGAAGTCTTTGCCTTCATCAGTGTCTTCAAGAGTTCTACCGATTTTCTCTTACAGCAGATTTATTGTTTCCATTTTAATATTTAGATCTTTAATCCATTTTGACTTTAGTTTAGTGCATGGTGATAGACATGGGTCTAGATTTAGTCTTTGGCCTGTGGAAAGTCAGTTTTTCCAGCACCATTTATTGAAGAAGCTATCTTTCTTCCAGTGAAGGTATTTCACTCCTTTGTCAAAGATCAGATGACTGAGTGTGTTTGGAGTTGTTTCTGCATCTTCTGATCTGTTCCGTTGATCCTTAGGTCTTTTTTTTTTTTTTTTTTTTTTTTTTTTTTGCCAGTACCATGCTGTTTTTTTGTCACAGCATAAGCTATATCCCTACTCCTTTTTTATTTTATATTTGGAGATATCTCATTAAGTTGCTCAGGCTTGCCTCAAACTGGTGATCTTCCTGTCTCAGCCTCCTGAGTAACTAGGATTACAGGCATGCACCATTGTGCCTAGTCTAAAATCTAACTTCTTAACTATGTAATAGAGTATCTTATAAAGTCTGTTGTATTGGATGAAATATTCGAGTCATTCTCTTGATCGCAGATAACCCATATTTATCACAACAACTTGTATCTTTCTTATAATGAAATTTCACTGCCATGGAGGCCTCCCTGAGGCTGTTAATTAATAAGAGGACTCTTGCTTTTAAGTACTTATTTTTAGCCAGGCATGGTGGCACATGCCTGTAATCCCAGCACTCGGGAGGCTGAGGCAGGAGAATCATTGTGATTTTATGGCCAGCCTGAGCTATAAAGTGAGTTCAAGACCAGCCTGAACTGCATAGCAAGACCCTGTCTCAAAAAGACAAAAAAAAAAAAAAAAAAAAGAACTTAATATTAAATCCTTTGATTTAACCTGTATCTTGGCATTGGTTTCTTTATTGTATTAGTCACTTTTCATTGCTAGGACAGAATCCCTGACACGGACAACTTAAAGGGGAGGAGAGGGCTGCGGATGTAGCTCAGTGGTAGAGTGTTTGCCTGACATGCACAAGGCTCTGAGTTCCTTCCCCAGTACCACACACACACAAACACACACACACACAAACAAACAAACAAACAAACAAAATAAAAGGAGAGGAGAGGTTTATTTTGGCTCACAGTTCCAAAGTTTCAGTCCATGGTCTAGTGGCTGTAAGACAGAAACATTATGGAAGGGCATGGCCGAGGAAAGCTGCTGATTTAGGGCAGCCAAGAAGCAGGGTAAGCTAGGAAGAACCAGAGAGAAAGGGGCCAGGGACCAGATACAGTCCCTAAGGTCAGACCCCCTCTAGGTCATGACCCGGAGACATCCAGAGGTATGCTTTATGAATGTCCTAGGCAGCTCTCAAGCTTCTCAACATTAACTGTCACACTTGTTTATTGGTTTAAGACATTTAGGGAATGGCTTGTGTAAATTTTCTTTTTACTTTTTTTTAACTTTGTAGGTAGATTATGATAACCATGCACTTTATAAACATGGAAAGACAGGTCGGAAACAATCTCCTGTGCGTATATTTACGAACATTCCACCCAACAAAATACCCCTTCCTACTGAAGAAGGGTACAGGTAAGATCGGTAGGACTTAAAATTCACAAGTCACCCAGTATATGGTTCCATTACCTAAATATAAAGTGCTTTCAATATTGAATCATTTAGTTCTTCTGTTGTTTTAAAATTTGGTCCATAATTTTATATTGAATTCTGATTACATCTAGCTTTTGGAACAACTGTCTTGTAAACCTGTCTGCACTGTTAGACTCAATAAATACTGTATATGCTGCTGATTTTGCTGTCTTCCCTTTTTAGATTTTGCCCTCTGTGTCAGCGATACGTTTCTCTTGAAAATCAACACTGTGAGCACTGTAATTCTTGCACATCCAAGGTAGAGCTTCCTTGTCTAGTGCATTTTTACTTAAATATAGTAGTTATATTTTAGTTTACTAGTCTTAGTCTTTTTTAAAGCTTTCTTACTATTACAGTTTGTGTTAATATGTATTAGCGTCATTAATTATACTTTAATATAATAGTACTTTATTTCTAATTATAGAGTACAGAAGGCTTGTTAAAGTTCTTCCTTCATCATCATCAACAGTTCCTTGAATTCATTTTCATGTAGTGCTCTGTGACTGCTAAAATTAGGAGTGTTTCAAATAAGGCACTAAATGAGTGCTAAATTTATATCCCTATTGAGGGCAAAATTATGCTGTTTTAAATAAGGCATTGAACTGTTAGATACCATCAGTTTTCTAGTGAAGTAAAAATTAATAACATGTGCCATGCACTTTTTGTGTGTCAGGCCCTTTGCTGAGAGTTCTACGTGGATTAACTCACTGCTCATGGTAGCCTTGTGAGGTAGATACAGTTAGTCCCTGCTTTTTCACAGGTGAAGGACTTTTACGGGACAAATCTATTTATTTATTAAGCTGTTATTTTTTCTTAATAAACTTTATTTTTAAAAAGAGTTTTAGGGACTGGAGATACGGTTTAGCAACATAGCGCCTGCCTGGCAAGTGCTAGGTCCTGAGTTCTATTCCCAGTACCAAAAAATAAAAAATAAAAAAAGTTTTAGTCTGGTGTGGTGGCACATGCCTGTAATCCCAGCACTCAGGAAGCTGAGGCAGGAGGATTGTACAAGTTCGAGGCCAGCCTGGACTACCTAGTGAGTTGAAGACCACCCTGAACTGCATAGTGAGATCTTGTCTCAAAAAAGTAATTTAAAAAAACCCATTTTGGGTTCACAGCAAAGTTGAGGGGAAGGTACAAAAGTTTCCCACCTCCCCTTGCCCAGTTTCCCCTGCGTGAACACTGCGCTGGGCTCTGCTGTTGTTCCGGCTGATGCCCTCCACGGACATGTCCCGACACTCAGAGCCCCTGGTTTACATTCAGGCTCACTCTTGGTGCTGCACGTTCTGTGAGCAGGGCGACTGTACAAGAACTGTACCGTTTTTAGTGTTCTCTAAAAATCCGCTCTGCCTGTTCCTTCCTGCCTCTCTACCCGCTAGCAAACACTGACCCTTGTCCAGAGTGCCCTGTGCCTGGAATACCCAGTACGTATGAGGCCATTTCAGCTTAGCTTCTTTCGCTTAGGCATTTGAAGTTCCCCTGGGTTTGGTTGTTTTTTTTTTTTTTAATGACTTCCTAGCTCGTTGTTACGATACTCATTTCTGGCTGGATCACCGTTTGTTTAGCCGTTCCCCTACTGGAGAGTATCTTGTTGCTTCCAAGTTTGAGCAATTCCAAATAAACCTCCTATTTAGTTTTCAGGAAGGCAGGATGACCCTTAAGTTTCTTTGTTTATTTTAATGAAATCCAGTAAGAGAGTGCATGTGGAGTTTAGTGGGGCTTTTACACATACATAATTTATTCTCTGAAGAAAAGGCCACATTTATGTACATATTAGAAAGTACAATTTTCGTGATTATATAGTTTAACTGTACTTGTTTGTAACTCTGATGACACTTCTGATTGTATGTTTTCACTGAGTTTGGGAATAATCTGTAGTATGCCCAGAACGTATAGGATATAAAGTTGAGGAAAATAAAACTTTATTCTATGCAGATGTATACATAGATGGGAAAAATAAATGAGCAGGGAAAGGTTGACGCGGATACCGGACTAGGTGTCAGGCTGTGGGCGCGACGTGATGGGAGGGGACTTTCTGGGGCCCTTGGCGTCCGCTCCTTACCTGGAGTGCACCCTTGCAGTGCTCAGTCCTCAGACCTGTGTTCTTTGTGCTCTTCTGGGTGTTTTATTTGAGTTTTAAAATGACTCAAGTAGTGACTGTAATCTGTCTGTCTAAATTACGGAAAGCTCTCAAACCCGAGTTTCATGAAGGATTGTGTAGTAGGGACATGAAATTCTGAATCATTAACTCCCTTGAAATTTTCATTGGAGTCTTTTGTGTGTATTGGGTTGCTTGAACTGGAGTGGATTTTCGAGATCATTTAGATAAATCTCCTCGTTTCACAGTTACAGCAATTGAGGCCCATCAAGGAGGCATTTGAGTTGAGTGGAGAAAGGCATAAATTAAAATCAAAGTATTTAATTGTGAAGCCAGGAAAGGGAGAAATAAGAATGAATAATTTACACCCGTCTTAATAAGACATTTTAATTTTTAATTGTGGAACTTGATTTTTAATAACAAATTAAACATAATTTAAAATTATTTTTGTAGGATGGCAGGAAATGGAAGCACTGCTTTCTCTGCAAAAAGTGTGTAAAGCCTTGTAAGTAATGAGAGTTGTTTAAGATCCTGTGAAAACATGTTTGATGATTTTCCTTCATCTAAATAGGGTTTTTACTTATTTGCATTTATATCAGAAAAATAATGAATGTACAGTCTCGCATTAACTTGTCTGCTTTCTAATGTCCATTCTTACCTGTGTGGACGTTCTGTCTTTCATGAGGAGGATGCCTGCTGACCTGTGTCAGTGTGACTTCTGCCCTGACTATTTTAACAGGATACTGTGCCGTCCTGCCAGCCTCCTTTGTGACAGTGGCTGTCAGTTTGTGATTTCTTGGGGAAGGAAGGGCTGAATTTGTTGCCTTGTAACTGAACAAAATTAGTTGGTTTACATGGGATTCCAAATTCTTTGTTTTAGTCTCTGTAGGAAAATTAAAACTAGCTATGCAAGCCAGCCACAGTGCTTTTGGTTTTTTGGTTTTTGGTTTTTGGTTTTTGGTTTTTTTTTTAGACAAGGTCTTCTATGCAGTCCAGGCTGGCCTCAAACTCTCACTGATCCTCCTGTGTCGGCCTCCGAGTGTTGGGACTACAGGTGTGTACCGCCACGCCCGGCAACCACAGTGTTTGAAGTAAACACAATTCATGCATCCTATCTTAAAAAGTTAGTAGCCAGGCGTGGTGGCACACGGCTGTAATCCCAGCACTCAGGAGGCTGAGGCGGGAGGATCATTGTGAATTCGAGCCCAGCCTGGGCTACAAAGTGAGTTCCAGGCCAGCCCGAACTGCATAACAAGACCCTGTCTCAAAAAGACAAAAAAAAAAAGAAAAAAAAAGTTAGTAAAAGGAAAAATGGTGTTAAATGAACTTCTAAACCTTAATTTTTATTTTACAGCCTGGATCCACTGTAGCTTTTGCAATCGCTGTGCTGTCGCACATCATTCATGTGATGGCCCTAAAGATGGCTGCTTTATTTGTGGAGAACGGGATCATAAACGCAGTTCTTGCCCTAACATCAGCACCTTGAGGAAAGCCAGCAAGTTAGTTGAATTCTTTTATTTGCCGTAAAACGACTTTTCCTCGTGTGCATTGTATGGCTCAGTCTACAAAAGTACACAGCGTTTGGAGAACTGAGACATGGTCATCTTCCCTGTTACTTAGCATTCACATAGATGGGGAAGGGATTATTTGCAGATTACCAGATGGCCAGATTTACTCTTCCTTGGAAATTGAGATTAGGATAAAAATATCAAGCCATCATGTGATCTGTAACTTAAAAAATTTAGATGAATATTAAAGTCTTTGATACTTTAGTAACTTCTTATAATTATTTTTCATTTGTTTATTTTTAGTTTTTTAGCCAATGGAAAATATTTTTTTCATTGAAGTCCAGCTGCTTGAATTCTGCCTTCTATTAAACTGTCACTTTTGTGATGGCTGGGGGTGGTGGCGCACACCTGTAATCCCAGCACTCGGGAGGCTGAGGCAGGAGGATGGTTGTGTGTTCGAGACCAGCCTGCGCTACAAAGTAAGCTCAAGGCCAGCCTGAACTGCATAGCGAGACCCTGTCTCAAAAAAAGACAAAAATTAATTAATTAATTAATTAATTGTCTCATAAATTATTTACAGCAAGTAATCCAAGGTAGAAGTGGAATTGTAAACAGTTAAATGAAAAAAATCTTATGAATATTCCTTAGGAACCTTCAGAAATAGAGTGCAACCTAATAGACTCCCTGGTCTAGGGTTGTTGTCATTCGCAGTGTCATTTTGAGTGGAAATATCAGGTAATACATTCTTTGCCTTTAATTCTGTGGATCTGTGAAACATAGAAAATGAGGTCACATTTGGTAATACTGTATACTGTAGCCTCTTCATTGCTTTTAAATAGGTAGTATATTTGGTAGTGCCATATTGTTTTCTTTAGAGGAAATCATCTAGTGTCTTTCAGTATTGGATTTTTATCAGGTTTTGTTTGCTTGCTTTTTGTATGCTATATACCACAGGATGGTCCTGAATTTTAGATCTTTCTGCCTCAGCCTCATGAGTACAAGGATTACAGCATGTGTCACCACACCTGGCTCAGATTTTACCAATTCTAGTTCCAGTAGACAATCTCTTAAAATGTGGTATATTTGATAATGTAAATAGTATTACTTTCTCCTCTCCAGAGACTCCTAAATTCCTGTTAACAGTGCTTTGAAAAGCACTTTAAAAATGAAATTGATAGGGAAAAATTATTTTTTTAAATGTTTTTACTTTTAATTTTTTCATCTTTGAGATGGGATTTCACTATGCAGTTCAGGCTGGCCTTGAACTCACTTTGTGGCCCAGGCTGGCCTCGAATTTGCAGTAATCCTCCTGCCCCAGCCTTTCGAGTGCTGGGATTACAGTTGTGCACCACCATGCTTGGCCATTATTTTTCTTTATAAGAGTAAAAACATAATGCTAATAGCTTTGTAGCATGTGTAGCAGGAAAGATCTTTCTATCTCATGCTTTTTACAGCTGTCTTCCATTTTTTTGTTCGTTGTAATTTTCCTGTAGGGGTAGACTAGAATGATGCTGGCTCCCTCTTGTGGTGAAAGCTCACTTTAACAGTTACATAAATCCTACCCTTTAGAGGACAAACAATAGGTCAATTTAATTGTAAGGCAAAATAAAAATTAATGATTTGTACTCAATGAGTTCATCAGAGTTCAAAGAATTTATCCCTGGAAAAATTTATTTTCCTTCTGTTTCTGTTGATTTTATCCCCTAGCGAAATCTCATTCACTTTTAGCCCTGCTTATGAGTAGATGAACTAAAGCAAAATCTAAATTTTGTATACATGGATACATGGCTTCCTTGACTTTCCTGTTAGAGCTTATACTTTACTTCATTAAATTTGCTAAATCACTATTAATCAGGAAACTATCCTACTTTAATAAAATGGCTGAGGAAGGAAAAGATTTATATAAGAAGCACAACACAATAGAAAGATACTAGTTTTATTTTACAAGGTATCCCAGTCCACAGTGCTAATCTAAGTAGAGAAAAATATGAAGTTCTGTATCATGATTGTGCGAAACTACTAGTAATAGCCAATCTTTATTGAATAACTACCGTATAGTTGGCATTTTGCATATTTGAAGAAGCTACAGTCGAGTACGTGGTATCAGGATGATTAAAAGTATAGGTTCTGGAATCAAGCTGGCCTGGCCATTTTCTTCCTGGGTGATCATGATATTACAGAGCCTCACTTTCTTAACCAGATGAAGTTGGTGGGGGGACACTTTTGCTCAGTCTCCCACCTCCTTGACATCATTTCTGTTCCCGAGGCCTCACACACACGATGCCAAGTGAACAGGAAGTGAGCCTCTGTCTGGCCCCTGAGAAGATCAGTTCTGTTAGGGAAGCTCTGCTCCCAGCTTCTGTCCTGGGAAGAACAGAAAGAGCGAGCTTGTTGCTCATGAGAGGTGATCCCAGGGAGCCAGAGAGGTGCCTGCGTGTGCCAGCCTGCTTTTCGCTTCTTGTTAGGGTCAGTGACAAGACCCGTCTGAATGAGCAGAGCAGTATCTTTCCCAGTGGGGGCACATCTGGAACTTAGTTCAGAGAACACCAGAAAAAGGGATCTGTTCTGTTTGATGAGAATGTAGTCATTTTAGGGGGCAAGGGGTTTCAGCTTGTTCATTTTGAAGCTAGGCTTCAAGAAAACGGGGACCACAAAAGATGGACATCCTGTATGGGACCTGCCCAGACTTTTAGATCTACAGGAGAAAAGGAAAATTAGCTGCAGAGCTTATAAAATGGGTCCTTTCAAGTGTGGTCAGGTTTTTCTGTTGTGCTATTTCATTTCACGATCTTTGCCATCACATGTATTATTCTTGCCCTAAAAGATGTGATTCAGGGTTTGAAGATTGATGTGCCTAACCGAGCAGTGTAGACCACCCCTCCAAAAAAAGAAAACCAAATCCCAAAACAAACCCATTGGTGTGGCTGTTTACCTCCGTGGTGTGTTTACCCAAATACTTTGTTCTAAATCTATAGCAACCATCTTTCATAGAAATGTCTTTCCTCAAGCATTTTGCTTAGTCAGGCCTCTATTTCCTTGTTATGGTTAGGATACTGAGGATTTATGCTTACAGTACACTAAATTCTTTCCCTTCTTCTATTTTCTTATTTGGTTAGCTAGTTAATTAAACTTCAGCATAATTACATAATTCACTGTGCTCATTCCAGAAAATAATTTAGCACCTTGTTTTTCAGAGCTGTCAGAAAGCAGAAGCAAAGAAAAAGTAATAAGATGAAAATGGAGACCACTGAAGGACAATCCATGAATCATCCATCTGTTACCGGGAGAAGGAAGAGGAGGGAGAGAGCCCATCAATATCTCTGCTCTTAAATGCCCAGTGCCTGGAGAATGCGGAGATTTACAGTCCAGCCTTTGATGCCATTTTCTGCAAGTGCCACACTGGACTTAAATTCAGTCGCTTTCAAAGGTGATGCCCCGTACCAAGCTCAATAATAGGCAGGTAGCATTTGCTGGTTTATAGTCCTGTCCTCTGCCTCTCAGAGACCGGGGGTTTTCCTCCTCAGCTGGTTTATCAGCTTTTTTGCAGGCTTGTTTTCCACCCTCAGATCTTTCCCAGTTTTATTATGTTGGCCTCTTTTGTCCGAAAAATGGGCATAGTGCTTCTGTTTGCAGGGTCTGAGAAAAATGACAATAGAAACCTGTGAAGTTTGTTCACATTGAACACAAAAATATGTTAATTTAGATATGAAATATTTTGTTAAATAGTAAACAATGGTTCAAACCCCTCTTGCGAAGACTGTAACCTATAATTCTTGTTAGTTTGACTCTGAAAGCGATGGAAAGAATTTTTACAAAGGCACACTAAAGATACACAGATTAAACTAGTTACAATATTATTAAAAATTTATTTTTGCAGTACTTGTTGCCATTGCCCTCTGATTGGAAAGAGTCCCTAAATGTCAGATGGATGAGACATTGCAAGCTAGGCTTTGCTCCCTTACGTCAGTGTCTTCCAACCCATGCTGTAATTTCATCTCTAAACGTAGAGAGGGCGGGATAGTGACTGAGCTCCACTGAGCACCTCGTTCCTTTCCTGACCAGGGAGTCCTGGCTGCGTCTTGGCCAGGTCTCTGGCTGCCTGGAAGCCCACATTGCTTCCCTGTTGTGATGAGAGAGTGTCATTGCTCCACCTCAGCTGTCTGTGCTGGGTGTAAACGAGACTTACCTGGCTCTCAGCCGTGCTGGCAGGGAAGACTGCTGTCCTGGCTTCCGGCAGGGGCCACAGCCCTGAAGGGAGTGGTTTGAGTTCCCCAAACAAGCACTTTACGTCCCCATTTCTCTGCCAGGTATCTGACATTTCTCCTTAAGACTGAGTGGTTTTGGTCTTTTTTCTTCTTCTGTTTTCTCTTTTGGTACCAGAAATTGAAGTCAGGGCCTCGCACTTACCAGGCAGGCGCTGCATCACTGAGCTATATCCCAGGCCCAAGACTGAATAGTTTTGAATGACTTAAATTTGCATAATGACTTTATCCTGTTCCCAAACAACTGCTGTAGTGCCAGTTTGGAGGTGTTTTTTGGCTCGGGTTTAGCAGGAGTTCTGAGAATGCTGCACCCCATCTGGTATTTAAATTTCAAGTGAACTAGGACTGTTTGGTAACGTGATATGAAATACGTGGTCCAGCTGATGAGGGGAGTGTTGTATATTAGGCAGCATCCAAAGATGAATTAAGCTCTGGGGCTTGTAATAAAAATCAGAAAATGACACAGAATACTCCAGGATGTCTCTGCTCAGTAGGGTGGTAGTGTACATCTGGTGACATCAAAGAGGAAATAAATTCTGGGACTTAAAAATCAGAAACACGTTCTTTGACCACTGTTCATTTCGTTTCCTTTTTGTGGTGCTTGGGATGAACCCAGGACTGTGCACATAGTAGGCAAGGACTCTGCCTCACCAGGTCCCCTTTGTCTCCGCAGCAACTTGGGTTGCTGTGACTGTAGGAGAGGCAGGGAGAGAAGGAACTTTGTAAGGTCCCCGTGTTCTCCGCTCTGATTCAGTCCTGGAGAGGACATTGCCTGACTTGCTGGGTTCACTGTATCATGGTGAACTCTGTTGAGTGCTTCTTTGAAACTCAGATGCCTGGCGGACAATGACTACCAAAGAATTGCGTCTTCACAGCCACTGGTTTTTTTTTTTAACCCCTTGCACAGGACTAGGAATTGATCGTAGGACCTTGACACTGAGCTACAATTGTCCCTTAATTGGTTTTTTTTTTTTTTTTTTCAGTTTTGTGACAGGCTCTTGCATTACCAAGTTTCCCAGGCTGAGCTCAAACTTGCAGTCCTCCTGCTCAGCTTCCCACAGTGCTAAGATTGCAGGCCTGTACCACCATACCCAGCTCCAATGGTTATTTCATCTCTAAAATAACATCAATTATAAAATATACCGTTGAAGCTGGACCTGGAAGTCCATCCCTGCAGTCCCAGCTACTTGGGAGGCTGAGGCAGGAGGATCCTTTTGTAGGGAAAGGGTGTCAGTAGGCAGGGAAAGAATAAAATAAGGGCCTCATTAAACTTTATTAAAGAAATTAATAGAAAATCTTACTAAAGGGAAAAGTAAAAAAAAAAATGAGAGAAGATAAAATGGAAAGAGATTTGTAAAACAGGAGAAAAGGGGTTGGAGGGTAGGGGAATGGGGAAAAAAAGAATCGTATCATGTATAGGCACAGATTCCTTATGATGAATGTGATCATTGGGTATATCTAAAATGTACCATTAAAATCTGACTGGGAAAGAAAGATCTTCCTAAAAGCAGCTTTTTAGAAAGACAGAGGTAAAGAGAGAGAAACCAGAGCTGGAAAGGTGCCCGGTAGAGCAGTTAACATAAGAATTTATCAGAAGATTTGACAGACAGCAGGAATGCAGCCAGAAACATGAAAGTCTAGGGTAACCAGCCCGCCTTACACCTCCAGTAAAACGCGAAGGAGACAAGGGGCAACCACCCGAAAGCTCTCATTAGTGTATAAAGAGAGACATGCCTGTGCAGTTACACGTGTGTGTATAGTCTCACTCTGTGGTCACTGGATTACTGTGATGACTGACATCTAAGCAGCCTTTCTATAAGCGCCCCCCCCCTTACCCATCACAGAAAGGCAAGAAAGCATCAAATGACCAGAAATGTAGGCAAAGGTGCCCGGGTCCGAGTCACAGACAGTCAGAGAGCCAGTTGGTGACAAGTTCCAGGTGCCCACATGGAGGAAGGGTCCCTAGTCCTAATCAAAGGAAACAGGACAAAGCCCACGAGTATTTGCCTTTCCAGGGCCCCCTCCTCTTCAGAGTAGCTGTCTATCCCCAGCCCGCCCCGTCAAATACATCTTCCTTTGTTTTAAACTCCACTTTTCGTTTGTTACTGGTGCTGACTTTACAATTCCAGTTAGCTGCGGGTCCAGCGGGGCAGTGTTGTACGTGTACCCCTGGACACGGCACCTTCAGCTCAGGAGTTTGAAGCCAGTCTGAGCAGCACAGCAAGACCCTGTCTCAAAAGAAAAAACAAAAAAACAAAAACAAACAAAAACAATGTACTATTGATTTTATCATAGCTACCTGGGGAGAAAAATAAATACTATTTCATTAATTGTGCAAAATAACTTACAGATTTTCTGATTTTAGGAATACTGAAATGCAGAAAAAGCACATCTTTAGAATTGAGGAAATAGTCTTAGTTATCATCAGGAAAAGCATATGACCTTCCTAGAAAATTAAAAATAGGTCATTTGGTGACTGTGTCCTATGGGTAAGTCCTGGGGCTACAGGTTTACATCAGCATACCTGGCTCCTCTTCTTGCTTATATTAGGAATTAGTGAGATACAAAGTATTTTGTAGACCCCAATGGTCATATTTTAGGATTTTTTTGTCTTCATTAGTTGCATACTTCCTATGTTTCCGCAGTAAAGGAAGTCCCCAACTTGTGAACGAGTTCTGTTCTGAGAAAATTGTTCATAAGTCAGATTTGTTCATAAGCCAAGTGTTATGGTTTGTGTCTGGGTGTCCCCCCAAAGCCTCATGCGGCCATGGGGCGGGCTTTTGGAGTTTGATTGATTATGGGTGTGAGAGCTGCACCCGCCCTGGGGTGGATGGTTTGCATATGTAAGGGAGAGCAAGAGGGTGCTTACGGCCATTCCTGGCTTTTGTGCTTGTTGCTTTGCTGTGTTCTGCCGCCATGAGCTGTAGCCCTCTGCCATGTGCCACTCTGCCTTGTAATCTGCCAAGTATGGACTAAACCCTCCACAAACTGTAAGCGAAATAAACCTTTCCTTCTTTAATTTTGGGCGTTAGGTATTTTGTCCCAGCAATGAGAGAAAAGTAACCAAGACACCAAGAAAGTGAGTCTTACACATTACAGCTGTGAAAGCTCACAACTCGAATGTTTATGAGGGACTTACTTCATCCACCCCCACTTTTTGTGGTGCTAGGGATTAAACCCATCACAGAAACTGTATTCCCATCCCTTTTTTATTTTGAGATAGTATCTTGCTAAGTTGTCCGGGCTGGGTTCAAACTTGCGATCCCCTTGCCTCAGCACCCCCCCCCCCAAGAGGCTTTTGGCTGTGCCCCATTCTTTTCATCCTGTTCTGCACCTCCTGCTTGGCATATCCCACCCTTTTGTCATTTTCTGAAGTCTTACAGGGGTCTTCGGGCTGTGGCCCCGGTCCCATTCCTTTCTGGGAAGCATTCCATGAGTCCAGCTACTACTGTGTTCCACGCCACATCTGAAGCACTTAAGTTCACCTAGTATTTTATGATTACCTTTACAGACTTTGTTCCTCTGAAAGACTGAAGATTCTCAGTGTCAGTACCACTTTATCCATTCTTACGTCTCCTGTGCCTTGAGATACTCCATAAAAATCTGACGGAGGAATGGAGTTTTCTAGAAGCAGGTGATAGGTATGCTTGAGACATGGAGTGTACGCACTCTTGTCTGCTCCCTCTGAAGGGAGGGAAAGGGACTTACACAGTATTGGAAGGGGCTTGGTTGGAGTCATCAGGAGGCCTGGCCTAAGTGGAGACTTTGAGTGGGGACGTGCCCGGGGAACACTGGGAGCCCCATCTGCAAGTCTCAAACCTAGAAAATTCAGCTTGTGGAGTAACTTTAAGAAGAACGTCTGAGCTGAGCATGGTGACACACACCAATAATCCCAGCACTCGGGGAGGCTGAGACAGGAGAATCCAAGTTCAAGCCCAGTCTGGGCAACATGTAACTTAGCAAGACCCTGTCTCAAAATTAAAAAAAAAAAAGAAATTGAAGAGCCAGGACTGTCCCAGTGTAAAGGCCCTGGATTTAATGCCAGATAGTAGAAGGAAAAAGAAAGAAAAACCTTTGCATTGATATCTGCCCACTTCAGAGTAATCTGTAAAATACTCTGCATCTGGGAGAGATTTGACTAACTTGGAAATATAAAACCATAGTTTAACAAGGGTCCTGGTTTGCTGCCACCTCCTCTGCGTGTCCACATTGTCCTTGCTTCCAAAGGAGACCTGTCTGGTGAGATAGAAGTGTGTGCATGTTTTTATTCTATTTCTTGTAAAGTACTTAACCCCCCGCCCCCCTCCCCCGGTACTATATTAGAATTGTATTAGAAGCAGCACGACCTTGTTCAGCCCTGTGTGGATTAGAAGCCTGTTGTTGGCCACAACCTGTGCCGTCATTGGTTCTACTCGCTGGGGCTCCCAGAACTGTGCTGACCACAGGGTGACATCAGAGATCGCCACCTGTGTCACATGACCTCGGTTAACAGGAAGCAGGTGGCCTAGATAATGGGGTTTTCCAGCAGTGGGTGCTCATGAATACCAACCCAGTGAGTGCAAAGGCCCTTTAATGGACTGCTTTGTGCTCGAAAGCGTAATGTGCTACCAAAGAAGCCATCACACTTAGAACTACCCAGGTAAGGAAAGCTTCCCAACATGCGAAGGAAAATCCAATTTCACTTATTGGATGTGATTTTAAGTGGAACATTAGGGCGTGGCTTATATTACTTGAGGGTCAGCTAAGAAGGTGATTGCAATCAAGTGAAGATAAGATCTCTACTGTTTGATTTTAGCCAGTTTAGGATAAATGTTAACTCAGGGAGATTGAGGAAAATAGCACCAAAAGTGAGCTGGAAGATCTCAGGGCTGTAGAGGTGATTTTTATCATTAGCTGGACAGTCCAAAGAGTCTCCAAAATTTGAGTTGCTCCATATGTTGCAAAGCAGCAGAGGGAGAAGAGGGGGTGGACCCTGGAAAAGGAAGCCCCAGTGGGTAGGCCCCTTTCCTCCTCCGCAGCAGGCCTGGAATGTGGGAGAACAAAAGGAAGTCGGCCCAGATCTTCTGCTTGCTCAATGACAGAAGGAACCTAGGTTGCTGCCTCTGAACTTCTAGTTAATATGTGAGCCAAAGGAAATAAAAAATATCTCTCATCCCATCCTATTCCTCCAAAGATGGGTTCTTGCATAAATAGGTGTGCAGGTGAGGGGGTGATCTACATGCTCTAGCCCTTGGGGAGGATTTTTGTATCAGCCTAAACCAATCAATGTAAGGGGGAAATTGTATTTCCCCCACAAAAATGGCATTGGAAATATGGTTTTGTGACCCACAATTTTTTATAATTATGCTATAAACATCAACTTATACCAATCTTTTCTAATTTTCTTAGGATACATATTTACTTCATATTAATAATTAACATGTAATTACAATAATATGCTGTATGTTTAAAACATTACTACATATATTTTCCTAAACACATGAATACTGGTTCTGTAGCTCTTATTAGAACTTCTTCAAACATGAGTTATTATTCATTCATTCAGTTACTTAGTGGG